ATTACTCTGCTCCCAGTGGCCAGGGCGCCAACAAGACAGATCCCAGAACCCTTCCCCCGAAACACACACATACACACACGCACACACACACACACACACACTTGTTAGCGATCGCAACCTAACGCGCAGCGATGAGGCGGAGTAACTCGGGCAAAGCAAACGGGCAACGCGCCCCAGACACACACACACACACACACACACACTCACACACATGCACGTACACACATACACACATACACACATACACACATACACACATACACACACGCAAACGCACACGAACACAGGCACCCTTGTACCATGTGTGGGGCTGCTGTCGGGTCGCGTCGCAAGATGATGCCTTGTGCACTGAAATTCAATGGAGGTTATGCTAGGCCAGCCCCTTTAAGCAGATGAGAACATCACTTATCTAGCAACTACATGTATACAAATACATGCATGTCCATCGCATGAACTCCCAGGTGAAGTAATTGGGCAAATGCGCAGTCGATGCAACATCTCTTGAGCCGCCAGTGGTTCGAGGAGACAAGAACGACCTGCGGCACGCGGGCGCAAGCTACGGACTCGAAGGAACCAAGGATCCCTTCGATGTTCGTCGCACTAACGCCAGCACTCGTCAGACCAAACTGCAAGGACGCAAAACAGTCACGCCCTGACCGAAGAGGCTGCGGGCACTCCCCATCTCACTTTGCAAACTTAGAAAACTCTAGCGGGAAGAGGTCCTCTTATTCGTGCCGCCGGCTGCATGGCCTCGCCGCGATGCGCGTTCTTTTCTCGTGGCACCCGGCGGCAGCTTAGACTTCAGTCGGTGCCGACTCAGCTTGTGTGAATGTCAGCTTACCAGCCTGGAACATATCCCTATCCCTATGCTGGGCACCTCCTCATCACGATGCCAATCTTAGGGGTTCCCTTATTTTTGAGGGCGGATCCCTAAGATTGTCATCGCCGTTTGGCGTGTCAATCTTAGGGATAGGGATACGTTCGAGGTTAGTAATCAGCAGATGCCTAGTGATACAACGCCCAGGACAAAGAACATCCCAACGTCCACGTGCGAAGGCCAAACGTGGCGCGTGAATCTCGATTCGTCCAGGCGTGTAGACATGACTGCTAGAAATCATGCCTGCTGACAACAAAGCAGTGCTGCTTATAGCACGCACAGCTCACAACACTGTTGAGCCGCTAAATAACACATACACGAATTCACAGCTTGGCCAGGCGCACTGCAAATTCTGAACACAGCCGCAGTCACGGGCAAATTGCCAAACGACGTGAAAAAGAGAAAGCGGCCCTGCTCTAGATACTCATGTGCAATCTCACGGTGTGCCGAAAAGGAGGGCGAGACGAACCTAGAGTAGTCCAGGACATAGTTTACTTGCACTTTGATGGGGTCAGGCTCCAGGCTGCTGGCGAGAGATACAAAGGGGGAACGTATCTGCCACAGTCTCTTCGGTAGAAGTGTTAGAGTCAATGCAAGCTGTCTGGTCAGACTTCGGTCCTTTTCTTATACGACCCCCTCGCCACTGGACCTTCCTCATAAATCGCGCCCTGCTCAGCACGCTTCTCGTCCCCGAGACGGCCCAAGACCACGCCGAGACGAGTGAAAGATGCCTGGAGACAAGCCCAAGACTACTCCGAGTTTCTTAATATGCGTCGGGGGGGGCGTCACCCCCGCCGACAGCCCCACATCGACCCCCGTCGCGGGCAGCCACCGCGCGCTGAAGGCGCTCCGACCCCGTCGTGGCGCGACGACGAGGCGAGGTTGAACCCCCGTCGGGGGGGTACCCCCCCACGCTTAGTAAGAAACCCAGAATACCCCAAATACTCTCGAGAGGCCCAAGATGTCCAGAGACGCCTGGACAAGTCCCAACAAGCCTCAAACCAAGAGGCCAGGGAACCACCTACCAAGAACATGCGAGGCCAAAGGCACTGAGAGAACCTGTGGATCTCTGGAGCGCTGCCCTGCCCCGCTCGCCAAGAGGTTTTCGGCCTCGAGGTGGCCTCCCGGAAGCTCCAAAGAGCTCCCGTGCGTCTCCAACGAGCTCTAGTAGGGGGCCACTTGCGAACCCTGCCCCTACCCCCAACGATTTCTACGGGGGAGGGTAGGGTTCACTTCGCTCGGGAGCTCCTGAATTCAGTGAACCCCACCCTCCCCCTCAGAAATCGTGGGGGTAGGGGTAGGGTTCGCAAGTGGCCCCCTATTTAGGTCGGGCCTGTCCCCCATACAGGGGGATGTTGGACGAAACATAAGAAATACGCAAAACATAGTCAAAAAGATGCCCAAGAATGCTAAGAAAATAGTCCCCTGACTATGTTTTGACTATTTTTGGACATTCCCCCTGCAGAGGGACAGGCCCGACTTGAAACGAGCTCCACGAATCCTCCGATGAACATCCAAGAGAAGCCGGCAAACCCACACAGTGGCCCAATACCGCCCCGGGACAGATCCAGACCGACTCCAAGCGCCCCCCTGACCATCGCACCATGGTTCTACCGAGCTCTGCGGGAGAGCTCAGTAGAACTATGCCGCCCAAGACGGCCCCTACACCCTCAGTTGGTTACTCAGATGCTCTCCATCAATTACCCAAGGGGCATCGATCATGATCCCGAAAAGGCTTCACACATGCCCAATAAGAAGCCTCCGGGAACCTCCTAGGGAGCAGCGCACCAAACATGCAACATCATGGCCACGCCACCCAACAACATTTGCAGCGGGTGTTCCGTATGCCCTGGCCCAGGTCGGTCGAGCTCGGTATAATCATCCTTAAAGCCACATGAGACTATTGTTGTCTTGATGCCGTCCTCCCACCGCCATCGCACAATACATATAAAATTCTGTATTGCGTGTGCATTTTCACCCCCTTAGCCCCGAGGGTCCAGAATCTTGTCTTCGACATGCTGGGGCGCGTTGGGATAAGTGTTAGCGGTCTTGTAACATTTGAATTGCCTCCCACGGGCGACCCCCCTCCCCTACTCGCAGAGCGTTGTTCGAACGTCCCACCTTTACGCCACGTTCCACGGGAGCTCTTCCTGACCCAAGTCGGGGACGTACTGACCCGGGTCAAGCCAAACCCAGGCCAGTCAGGCCTTGCAGGCTCCTGCAAGATCTTGCAGGATCCTGGATCCAAACCCGGGTCAGTGCAGCTCTGGCCCTGCAGGATCCTGCAAGGTCTGGCGCTCTGGCTGACCCAAGTTTGCATTGACACCCGTCTCTTGTGTCTCGACCAAGGCAAGTCCAAGACGGCCCGGGTCTGCACCGAGACGGCTGCAAGATGCCCAAAGACGAGCCCAAGACGACCCCAGCGCCTCCACCACGACCTAAAAAAGAACGCAGAGGGCCTCAGGAGGCGGAGCAGGAGTCCTCCAGCGACGCCGTGGGAGGCCAAAGACACTGAACGCTCAACGACTCAATTTGGTTGTTCAAGGCCGTGTGCTTACCAAGCTTCTCGGACTAAGATGGCTTCAGGCCGGCTTCTGCAGACCACAGGATGGCCCCAGAGGGCCTCACGATGCCCGTGCTCAAGACGGGACCAGAAGAACCCGACGGCGGAGGCTCCCAATACATCTCAAGGTCGTCCTCTGGGAGCAGCCAAGATGGTCCCAAGACCCAGCCACATGACCCCAAGATGCATCGGCCTCCTCCTCCTCCTCCTCCTCCTCCTCCTCCTCCTCCTCCTCCAACTCCTCCTCCTCTCCTCCTCCTCCTCCTCCTCCTCCTCCTCCTCCTCCTCCTCCTCCTCCTCCTCCTCCTCCTCCTGCGAGGCCTCCTGCTTGGGAGAGCTGGGATGCCTCCGTCGTGCGAGCGGGCGGGCTCCCGCGAGGCCTCCAAAAGAGCGCCCCCGGGGGGCCTCGGAGGAAGCCCCCCCGTTGCTGGGCCTCCGAGCAGCTCCGGGGAGGCAACGCCACGGACATGCAGGATGCCAGCCATGCCGTGCTACAATCAGGGGGACGTAAGACCTGGGTACAGGGGACTCGGAAATCCCCGACGAGGTCGTCAAAAAAATGACGAGGCCGAGCCTGCATTTTGACGAGGCCTCCCGCTGCAGACACCCCGAGAAACTCCTCCTCGTCAAAATTCGAGGCGCGGTCGTCAAAAAACGATGGCGAACCCGAGTCCTGGCAAACCCGGGTCTTACGCTCCCCCGGTACAAGGTCGTAGAATGATCCCCGAGCAGCCCCGCGATGGTTCTGCCAAGCCTGTCGGGGGAGCTCGGCAGAGCAATCCCAGAGGCACTCGATGCTGCGCTCCCACGACGGCGGGGCTTCCCGCAGGCAGCTGGACACCCATGATGACCGAGGAAGGACACAAAGGCAACCTCTTTCACGGTGGCTGAAGTGCTTCTGGAAGCAAAGAACACGTGGACCGTGACCAAAATTGAACGCGGAAACGTCGGTGTCGATCTTGGTCACCGTCGACTCGTGGATCATCCTCGCGAAGCGGCGACGGCCGACATGGACCGTGACGAAGGTCGGCGTCGACGAGGTCCCGCGACAGCTTGGTCATGGCCAGCGTGCCTCTTCACTCGAACTTCAGGCAAGTGCACCTGCCTGCCTAGATTCAGGAGGGAAAGAAACACACAGACACAATTAATCGTCGATTTCCCAGAAAATATGGGAAAATATGGGAACTGGGCGGGAAGACAAAAACCCAGAATATATATATATATATATATATATATATATATATATATATATGAAAATATAAGGAAACCTTTTATTTGTGTGTATTTATTTGTGTGTCCCAGGGCCCCTTCAAGGTGCACCTGCCTGCCTAAATCGCGCCTACTCGGTCTGGGCCACCAGGCAGACCCCCCGCAGCTTCCAGTGGAACGGGTGCTGCTCGGTTCGCAGGAGGAGCCTGCGGAGGGCCGGGGGGGCCCACGCGGCCGCCATTGCACAGAGGCCGAGGCGACCTGCGGTGCCAGTGGGCCCGGCAGCGCGCGCGGCACAGGGCGACACCTGTACCCTCGAAGAGGCCACACAGTATACACAGAATTACGAGTATCAATGTTGCTGCCTTGGGGCTCTCTTGGGGCGCACTTTTCGTCGACCCTTGGGGGTTCCAGGGTGCCCCAGAGCTGCTGTGGGCCCCCAGGGTCATCGGGGGACCAGAAGCTTTCGCGAAGGTACCTGCTGGCAGGCCACCCTCTCACTTGACGTGCCTACTGTGTGGCTCTACACGAGGGGGAGCATCGAGACCACGTTTTGCGTCTCTCTCTGCCACGCGACCTGCGCCGCTCTCGATCTACAAACTGTCTTCCTGTCGCATTGCTTCTGACACTCTAGAGCTGCTTTCCGTTGCCCAGCAACCGCACGCCGCTCAAGTGGTAGCCAACGTTGCTCATTACTTTGCTTTCTGTTAGCCGGCGTGGACCCCAAACTGTGGGGCATCATACGTGGGGCAGTCTATGTGCTGCAATATACGCGGTCCAGAATATGTGGTGCAATCGGTGTGGCGCGGTCAAGTTTGTGCAATGGATGTATATGTGTGGTGTCAACAAATGATGTGCAGCCTACGTTGTGCAATCTATGTGGTGCAATTGATTTTACCCATGATGTGACACATCTCATGCTCTTGCAAACATCCCACCCACCCACCCGCAACTTGGTTTGCAAAACCTCTTAAGACCGTGACGGCAGGTTCCAAATGGCACTTGGCAACGACACCGGCGCCGACGACGACGACAACGCCGACGACGACTACGACGACACCGACGACGGCTTCGACGACTTCGACGACGACGACAACGACGACGACGACACCGACGACGAAGACGACGACGCCGACACCGACGACGACAACGACGACGACGATGACTACGCCGACGACGACGACGAGGCCGACGACGACGTCGACGTCGACGACGCCGACGACGACGACGTCGACGACGACAACGACGACGACGACGGCGGCGACGACGACGACGCCGACGTCGACGACGACGACGACGACGCCGACGCCGACGCCGACGCCGACGCCGACGCCGACGACGACGACGTCGCCAACGAAGACCACGACGACGACGAGCGAGGAGGGAGCACGACGACGGCGACAACGACGACAACGACGTGGGAGGAGTGAGGACGGCGACGACGCGAACGACGAAGAAGGAGGAAGGACGGCGACGCCGACGACGACAACGACGAGGGAGGAGGGAAGACGACGACGACGACGACGACGACGACGGCGACGAAATAGGAGGGACGACGACGAGACGTCGACGACGACGACGACGACGACGAGGGAGGAGGAGGAGGAAGGACGACCACGGCGACAACGACGACGGAAACGACCACGACGCCAAAGAGGATGACGACGACGAACACGAGGAAAGACACAGGACGACGTAGGCTACGACGACGACGACGCGGGAGGAGGGAGGACGGCGACGACGACGACGACGACGACGACGACGACGACGCCGCAAGAGCGCGCGCGCACGCTTTTGTTGAAAATCCGTGTTGCGAAACCTTGTGTTTTTGCAGGTTTTTTGGACGCGCGATTTTGAAATCCTTCCGAAACCGATGGGTTTTGAAGAATTTCGGCGTACGCGCACGACGACGCGCGCGTCTGCACTTCGTCAATTTTTTTGCAGAGGATTCTCGCGACGGCACACGCGCAAGGGCGTTCGACAGACTTCGACATGCGCGCGCGACGCCCGTTTGGTAGCATGTTGTGAAAATCTTGAAAAACCAATGGTTTTCTTCAAATTTCGCAAGAGCTCGCGCGGAAGCTTTTTTAGCAAATCAGTGTTACGAAACTGTGTTTTTGTATGTGTTTGTTTGAAACTCGATTGCGAAACCCTTCCGGCACCGAAGGCTTTTGAAGGATTTCGGCATGCGCGCGCGACGGCGCGCGCGTGTGCACTTCGTCCCATTTTTTGCAAGGGATTCGTGAGAAAGTGCTATGTTAGAACAAAAAATGTCACCGCATAGTTTTTTTTTACCAGAAAGGAACCTCAGGGGGGGGATACCAGTTGGCCTGGGACATTGCGATTTCATACTTAGGATGGACATGTGGTCATAATCATATGTGATTTACATACCCGAAAGGGGGGCGATAACTCCGGGGGGGGAGGGGGTAGATTCTATTTTCTTTTTAGAAAGGAGGATTGACTGCCCTGCACCGCGCTTGACCACTCCACTGCTCGCGCAAACATCCCACCCACCCACCCGCAACTTGGTTTGCAAAATCTCTTAAGACCGTGACGGTGGGTACCAAATGGCACTTGGCAACGACAGCGACGCCGACGACGACAGCGACAACGACGACGACGACGCCGCCGACAACGACAACGACGACACCGACGACGTCTCCAACGACTTCGACGACGCCGACGACACCGACGACGACGATGACGCCGACGCCGACACTGACGACAACGATGACAACGACGACGACGATGACGACGCCGACGACGACGACACCGACGACGACGACGTCAACGACGCCGACGGTAACGAAATAGAACCGACGACGAGACGACGACGACGGACGACGACGACGACGTGGCAGGAGGAGGACAGACGACCACGGCGACAACGACGACGGAAAGGACCACGACGCCAAAGAGGACGACGACGACGAACACGAGAAAAGACAGAGGACGACGACGGCGACGACGACGATGGCGGCGACGACGACGCCGACGTCGACGACGACGACGAAGACGACGACGACGCCGACGCCGACGACGACGACGACGTCGCCAACGAAGACGACGACGAGGGAGGAGGGAGGACGACGACGACGGCAACGACGACAACGATGACAACGACGAGGGAGGGGGGAGGACGGCGACGACGCGAACGACGAAGAAGGAGGAAGGACGGCGACGCCGACGACGACAACGACGAGGGAGGAGGGAAGACGACGACGACAACGACGACGACGACGACGGCGACGAAATAGGAGGGACGACGACGAGACGCCGACGACGGTCGACGACGACGACGAGAGAGGAGAAAAAAGGACGACCACGGCGACAACGACGACGGAAACGACCACGACGCCAAAAGGAACGACGACGACGAACACGAGGAAAGACACAGGACGACGTAGGCGACGACGACGACGCGGGAGGAGGGAGGGGGGCGACGACGACGACGACGATGCAAGAGCGCGCGCACACGCTTTCGTTGAAAATTCGTGTTGCGAAACCTTGTGTTTTTGTATGTTCCTTGGAGACACGATTTTGAGATCCTTCCGAAACCGATGGGTTTTGAAGGGTTTCGGCATACTCGCGCGACGACGCGCGCGTCTGCACTTCGTCAATTCTTTTTGCAGAGGATTCTCGCGACGGCACACGCGCAAGGGCGTTCGACAGATTTCGACACGCGCGCGCGCGCCCGTTTGGTAGCATGTTGTGAAAATTTTGAAAACCGACAGTTGTTGTTCAGATTTCGCAAGAGCTCGCGCGTAAGTTTTTTTAGCAAATCAGTGTTGCGGAACTTTGTGTTTGTGTATATTGTTTGGGAACTCGATTGCGAAATCCTTCCGGCACCGAAGGCTTTTGAAAGATTTCGGCATGCGCGCGAGACGGCCTGCGCGTGCGCACTTCGTCCCATGTTTGCAAGGGACTCGTGAAACAGTGCTACGCTAAAACAACCAATGTCCCCTGCGTTTTTTTTTTTTTTTTTTTTTTTTTTTTTTTTTTTTTTTTTTTTTTTTTTTTTTTTAAAAAAAAAAAAAAAAAAAAAAAAAAAAAAAAAAAAAAAAAAAAAAAAAAAAAAAAAACTCAGGGGGACCGGTACCGGTTCATTGTAAATTCACACTTACGATGGACACGTGGTCATAATCATGAATGATTTTCATACCCGAAACGAGAAAAGATAACGCCGGGGGGGTAGAGTCTATTCTTTCTTTTTATTTTTTTAAGGACAGGATAATCTATGTGATGCAACAGATGTGGCACAATGTATGCTGTGCGCTCTTTGTGTTGCGATACATATATATATATACATATATATATATATGTATATGTATTCATATATATATATATATATATATATATATATATCGTGTATACGTCCTGCGTGGTGCCATATATGCGGTGCAGTCTGCGGTGTGCAATATATGTGTTGCAGTCTACGTTGTACAATCTTTGTGGTGCAATTCGCCTTGCCGAACTTGAAGTTGTCGACTCCACTGCTCGCGCAATCATCCGACCCACCCACCCGCAACTTGGTTTTCAAAACCTAATTATGCGGAGGCGATTGCGATGAGTGCTTGGTGTTGGCTGGTGCATCTCTGCGACCGCGCTACCCCGCACATGCTCGCGCGCGCAGCGGCCCTTAGTGTGGCGCGAGCAGCGCAAACGCGGTGGCGCTAACCGCTCGGCACATCCCAGCGGGCACTTCAGTGCGAGTCGGCGACTTGGGCGGGCGCGGTATAATAGCAACGTCGACAACGGTAGACACAATGCTGACAGTAGCGGTGCTGGTGACGATGCTTACAGCGAGGACGGCACGGCCAGTGACGGCGCGCATGCGGATCACGTCGACGACGATGACGGCGTCCTCGCGTCGGTGATGAAGGTTTTGGAAGGACTTCGACATGCGCGCGCGGCCGACGCGCGAGAGTGGCCGCATAGTGTTAGTTGGCACGGATCGTACCCCCCCCCGGCATGCGCGCAAAGTCGTTCTTCTGATTTCGGCATGCGGCGCGGCAGGCCCGCTTGGCAGAATCCAGTGCCAATGTTGCAAATCCTATGGTTTCCTCAAGAGTTCGCAAAAGCGCGCGCAAACTTGTTTGACAACTTATCTTACGAAACAATGTATGTGTCACAGTTTCGGGACACTCGGCATTGAAAACCTTACGACGAACCTGAAGTTGTTGAGTGATTTCGGCATGCGCGTGCGACGACGCCCGCGCGCGCACTTCGTCACATGTTTTGCAAAAGAAGTCTTGCGACCGCACGCGTAGGAGGGCGTTCGAACGATTTCGACATGCGCGCGCGAAGCCCTTCTGGGAGGATTTGATGAAAATGTTGAAAAAAAACTCTATGGTTTTGTGTCAAAAGAATTCGCCAAAACGCGTGCGCAAATTTTGTTTGAAAATCCGTGTCGCGAGACCATGTGTGCTTATACGTTTTCTGGACACCAAGATTTCGGCATGCGCGTGCGCCCTTCGTCCCGTTTTTGGCAAAGGATTCTTGACACCTGATGATTTTGATAAACGTGTGCGCGCGCATAATCGTTTTTGCTAAGGATGGCGGGGGAGGCGGATACCAGCTGGGATGGGATGGTACGATGTCAGGCTTCGGATGGACGATGTGGCAGAATGGTATGTAAATTGCACATCCCCAGGGGGGGGGTGATGAGTCAGGCCTCGGGAGGGTGGAGAAGTCTAGGAAAGGGAAATATACGTGGTGCAAAATATGTGGTGCAATCTGTGTGGTGCAATTGCGCGTGGCGGCGTCGAGTCGGCGACGGGCCCAAACGACGGGCGGCGACGAGGCGGCGACGGGGCGGCGACGGCGGCCACATAGCCCGCCAGGCTGGCCGTCAGGCCCAGTTCCTGGGGAAAAAGATAAGAGCCCCTAAGTGCAAGCACTGTCTGGGGAAAACCCCATGGTCCGTCATGCCCCCCAGTGACCCAAACATCGCCCCTGCTTCTTCATTCGTGCTGCTTGGAAGACGGTGGTATGGGTCGATCACCCGCACCACATGATGATCTGACTCGGATTGTCTCTAACCAAAGCAAGATATTCGGCCCCTCGATCCTGAAGATGAGGTAGCGGTCGTTCCTCTTGGGGTACTTGTAGACCGCGCAATTGTAAGGCCTTAGGCAGAACTACCGATGCAAGCAATCCCGACGTATCAAACGGCGTGCCACATAGCCGGTTCTGGGCGGCGACATCTCTTGGGAAAGAAGAACTCTTCCTGCCGCCGGCTTCCGCCAGCCTTCCACCGCCGCCCGCCGGGGCAGAGGTACCAACTCTTTTCTCTGCAGAGCTGTGGGGGCTGAGAGATGCCAACTCCTTGGGCTCCTCGAGAGCGAAGCGCTCTCTGGAGCGCGCGGCGACATGCTTAGCACCCCTCTAACGGGGACTACACCAACGGGTACTTCGGCCAGTGACCTCGCGAACCTAACCTCCCCCCGATGTGGCTGCAATGCCAGAAAGAGCCCCTGTAGTACTTCTGTCCATGTCCACTGCAGCTTGGAGTTTAGGGCTCTCTCCCCCAGAAGCCCGAGGCGCACTGGATATGATGAAAAATCTGACCCCTTGGAGGCTCGATCTTTGCCCATACCCAGTGCGCCTCTGCCTTGTGGCGCCCTTTCCAAGAGAGGCCAAGACGCAATGGGTATGGATACAAATATTGCCCACACCACAGTCCTCAAAGTAAGGAGGCACGAACGCGCCTTCGTGCACGGAGGCGCGAGCGCTCTTGCAAGCGCGTGCGCACCCAAGCCGTGTGGCGTGATCGGCGCGCTCGAGCCCCATGTTTTGAGCAGGGACCGACCGTCCCGGCATTCCTGTAGTCCTACCACGAAATGTTCTCAGAACCCCCAGCTGTTCTCATAACAAAAACAGTGTTCTTAGAACATAAGCCCGATGTGATAAAACAGGACAGGCTCCGCCAGAAATGCTCTAAGAACAGTTCGTGGGAACCACGTAAGGTTCTTAGAACACTGCTTAGTAGGGCTATAGGCGAGCCGGGACGCTCTGCCACTGCTTGACCCGCGTTGCGACATGCGCGATCCGAGGTCACCGGCACGATGGCCCGGAGCGGAGACCTGCGCCCGCGAGGCACTGCTGGCCCACCCGCCGTGCTGCATGCAGCACGACGCTCAGACGCGTGTGGAGGAGGGAGGAGGAGGAGGAGGAGGAGGAGGAGGAGGAAGGAAGAGGAGGAGGAGGAGGAGGAGGAGGAGGAGGAGGAGGAAGGAGGAGGAGGAAGGAAGAGGAGGAGGAGGGGGAGGAGGAGGAGGAGGAAGGAGGAAGAGGAGGAGGAGGAGGAAGGAGGAGGAGGCGGAGCTTCCGCGTCCCTAAGTTCCGGCTCTCTACAGCGCTCCGTGGCATGTGCGGTGACGACCCCAGGTCCCTGCTGCTGGAGGCTAGCTCGCTAGTCAAGACTGTGGAGGTGTCAGCAATACTCGATGTATGCCGACTCTGGCCTCTCTGGGACGTATGATAGCGGGCCTCTGGGCAGCAGGTAAGAGGGCATCATTCTAGATAGCCATCATTCCCCACGAATCTGCCCCCCCAAAAAACGTGCCATGTTACAAACGAAACCACTTACTAACTATGTACGAGCCCTTCCGCAAGGCCGCTGTCCGCAGACAGGGTGGCGATTTTTCTCAGTGCCGAAGTCATGCCTTCCCACGCAACGGGGTGAGTTCAAGAACAATCAGGTGGGTGAAAGGCGAATTACTTTCCCGAAACAGGCGGCGGCCCACAGGGTAGGTCAGTTCGTTGAAAATATCCCCCCCCCCATATTCCTCAATCAATTGGCGGTCGGTGGTGGCTGCGAGTTGGGGGGCGCGGAAACTGAATGTTCAATGCAAGCGTTTTCCGTACTTTTGTGGCTCCGCCGAGAGAGGTTGGATGTTCAAAACATAGTTGTGTTCCGAGCCATGTTCTTGGCGAGTGCTTACACCCAGCAGGTACTGCTATGCCACGCGTTTGCTTGTCATATCGTCGTTGCTCTCCTGCTCGTCCTCCACTCCTCCGCTCGGTCTCAACGCTACGGTTCTGAGGTAGATTCGATTCGTATCGTTGTACACTCTTGTGTTGGATTTGTCAGCGTGGCCGTTTGGGCCGCCCTGTAGCCGCGGGGCCGATACGGTTCCAAAGGGATTCGTATCATTGACTTTCTCTGCTCCTGCCAGAGTCAGGGGCCATTGCCGATGTTCGGAGGTTGGATGCTAAAAAACAGTGCTACAGCTTTCACCAGGAGGCGCGCCAACCGCTGGATGGGCGGGTGCACGTAAATCTTTGGAACACTCCCCGAAATTTCGCTGGGGAGGGGTGCGGGGACGAACACTTCCGTGCCCCTATTGTGACAACAGCTGCCTGGACGTAGCAACGCCACTCTGCGCGCCAAAGGTCTAATCTAGAGATCGCGCACGCGAGCTGAGCAGCCGCACTGCAGTGTGCCTGGCGGACACGATCAATAGAGGAAACAACTGCGTAAGCATAGACTTTCGGAGGCCCGCGCGGACGTCCTGGATCGGCGTAGGATCCCCCTCCCTGGCGCGCAGAGGGTGCCTGGGGCCAGGCTGGAGGAGCCGCCGGGGGGAGGCCAGCGCCGGTCCAAGAAGTCCGCACGAAGCTTCGAAAGTTTCTGCCTGTGCAATGATCTTCCTCGAACTTCGCCTGGCGAGCGTCGACGGAGTTAAGCGCACCACCCAGACGGGCCATGATTCAAGTCCTTCGCCTTCAGGTCCTTCGCCGTGGTGGCGGTGACGTAGATCGCCGGCATCGCCGTGAAGAGCTGAAGAAGCACGCCCCAATGAATCGCAGTCGCTGCACTGTCGCCGCTACGCACAGACATGACACACGCATCCGGACCTCGCGCGCAAAATACTCGTGGACCCCGACCTCCTCTTGACTAGGGGGCAAACAAACCTACCCCGCTTTTGACCACCCTCGCTTCCAAGAGATACCAAGCGATGCCAAACTACGGCCTGTACTGGTCAGGCCGCTTGACGAGGAGGCGCATGGTATGACTTGGTTTTGCCTGGAAGCGAAAGCGGGGTAGGTAATTCACGCTCTGATTGACAAGGAAAAAAAACACGGGGAATATTTGGTAATGTTCAACCTCCGGGGGTTCCCCCCCCAAGGCGCCGGAGCTGCCAAATTGTACGCGCGAGGACCCAACCAGATGCAGGCGTGAGAGCACCGCAGGGCAGGTGGGGGACAGCGCGAGAGGTGTGCAGGTGCGTGCCGCCATGCGGGCGCCGCCACGGGGGCCGTCGGTGGAGCTCTCCGTGGGGCCACGAAACGCGTGATGGGGTGCGGCACAATGGGGCGGTGCTGCCATGCGGGCGCTGCCAATGGGGCCGTCGGTGGAGCTCTCTGTGGGGCCACGAGACGCGTGATGGGTGTGCCACAATGGGGCGGAACCGTCATGCGGGCGTTGCCACTGGGGCCGTCGGTGGAGCTTCCTGTGTGGCCACGAAGCGCGCGCGCGTGTGTGTGTGTGTCTGTGTTTGAATGTGTATATACATATGTGCATAGTTACACATACATGTGTGTGCTTGTGTGTGTATGTGTGAGGGAGGGGGGGGGGGGGCAGAATGGGGCGATGTCGCCACGTGGGCGCTGCCACTGGCGCCTTCGGTGGAGCTCCCAATGGTGCTACGAAGCGCGTTTGGCGTGTGCCAAAGTTGTTGCGGTGCAACTATGCGGGCATTGCCAGTGAGCCTTCGGTGTAGATCCTGTGTAGCTCCCACTGGGGCCATGAAACCTGCGAGGGGTGCGCCAAAATGGTTGCGGTACAGCTGTGTGGACACTGCCGCTGGGGCATTCGGTGGAACTCCCTGTGGGGACAAGAAGCGCGCAAGGGGTGCGCAACACTGGTTGCGGTGCCGCCGTTCAGACGCTGCCACTGGGGCCTTCTGTGGAGCTCCCTACGAGGCCACGAAGCGTGCGAAGGTGTGCCAAAATAGTTGCGTTGCCACCATGCGGGCACTGCCACTGGAGCCTTCGGTGGAACTCCCGATGGTGCCACGACACGCGTGAAGGGTGTGCGAAATGGGGCGTTGCCGCCATGCGGGCATTGCCAGCGGGCCTTGGGTGGAGCCCCCTGTGGACCACCAAACGTGCGATGTGTCTGTGCGTGTGCGCCGAAGTGCGCATGCGGAGGGCAAAGGAAGGATGGAGGAGGCGCCGGAGAAGGAAGGAGTATAGCGCGGGGCCCTGCCTCCACAAAACGAAGGCCCAACAGCACATCATGCTTTAGAAGACAAGAGCACAACGTATAACTTCTGGGGCTGAGTGGGCCCCGGAAACGGCAGGGCCGTTTTTTCACCGTTTCCGCAAAAGTGTCCATTGAAAATGGAAACGGCAACAAAAACGGCGACCGGAGACGGCAACAAAAACGGCTCCAGGATTGGAACTGGAGCGGGAACCCGTAAAAGAACGGCGACGGAACCGGAAAAAAAAAGCGTCGGAACCGGCAAAAAAACGGCACAGCGGAACCGGTAAAAAAACGGCCCTGTCGTTTCCAGGGCCCACCAAGTTCTGGGGGTATGCATGCGTGACGAGCCGCATGCAGTGGCACATCAAGCCATCTCAGCGCGCACGGCATCTCTCTTGATCTCGCGCTGCCCTGCACGGAAACGCGCAGCCCGTCGCGCCCGGCCGGTGCCGGGCACGGTCCCCAGAGCGCTTGCGCTGCAGCTGCCTCGGCCCAAACAGGGGGCAAGCAAACCTACCTCGCTTTTGACCACCCTCGCTTCCAAGAGATGCCAAGCGATGCCAAACTACGGCCTGTACTGGTCAGGCCGTTTGACGAGGAGGCGCGTGGTATGACTTGGTTTTGCCTGGAAGCAAAAGCGGGGTAGGTGATTCACGCTCTGCCCAAAGCTGCCCGCGTTCCAAGGAGGTGCGCAAGAGTGGTGGCTCGAGGCAGACGCGCAGCAAACAACGATGCACACGGGACATGTGGGCGCCAGCGCCGCGACTCCTGGAAACGGGACGCTCCCTCCGCACCTCTCTGCCGGGCCCCCCCTTCGCCTCACCCCGGGAGGCGCCTCCGGCTCCTCGCACGACGCCTCATCCCGAAACGACGCTGAATCCCTCCAACATGTTTTACGCTATGCCGCTTCTGGTGCTTAGATTATGTAACGGGCGAAGAACGGTATAAGATAAACTTTTTCGCTGTCGGGGGCGCCTGTCCCTGGGCGGCTGGAAAGTTTACACCCTTACGGTGGCACCGTAGGGGTATAAACTTTCCAGCCGCCCAGTGACGGGCGCCCCCGACAGCGAAAAAGTTTATTTTATACCGTTCTTCGCCCGTTAAATTATTTTGTCGTGTATCCTCGGACCCCTGGAGTCTTCAGCCCTCAGGAGCTAAGCGGTCCCGACCCCAAGGCCACAGCTTGCCCGTGGCGTGCCGCATGCCCCCGCAGACATCTTAGGGCTTGTCGTTCAACTTTCAGGAGGAGAAAAAACACACAGACACAATTAATCGGCGATTCCCAGAAAATATAAGAAAATATGGGCAGTGGGGGGGAAGACAAAAACCCAGAACATATCGGAAAATATGGGGAATCTTTTTATTTGTGTGTATTTATTTGTGTGTCCCAGTTCCCCTTCACACTTGTCCCGACGCCAAGAGGCCCTAAGACGGCTCCTGGAGGCTCTCCGGACGGTCCAACAGGGCTCCCAAGAGCGCTCCAGGACGCCCGAAGATGGTCGCGAGACGGTCTGAGGGGACCCCAAGACGGCCCAAGAGGGGACACCGAGAAGAGCCCAAGAGCCCACCAGAGCGAGGCCGGCGGCGGCGGCGGCGGCGGCCACGCTCAGCGCAGCGCCGCCGCGGGCGCAAGGCCTTCTTGGGCTCCGACTCGTCGAGCCTGGACTCCTGCCTGTTCCAACGCCCGCCCTCTATGAAGAGGCCGTGGATGTTCTGCCCCTCCTGGGGGGGGGCGCGGCCAAGAGGGGGGAGGAGCAGGAGGAAGAGGAGTAGGAGGAGGAGGGAGAGGAGGTGGAGGAGGAGGAGGAGGAGGAGGAGGAGGAGGAGGAGGAGGAGGAGGAGAAAGAGGAGGGGGGTGTCCAAGAGGGGGGTGTGCAAATCATGACCGGCGGCATGTGCGCGGTCCAGCGGGGGTGCCAGGGACGTGATGAAACAAGAAGAGGCGCCCTGAAATCTGGGGAGATATCATGGCCCCCGCAATGATATCCCCCCCCCCCCTAGTCATCACCCCCCTCTTTTCCGCCCCCGATGGGGGGGGGGCGCGCCGGAAGGCAGGAGAGCCCAGAATCGAATCGATAAGTCGGATCGGCGATCGCATTGAATCGGATCGGCGGGAATCGGCAGCCGAGTCGGGAAAAGTCGAATCGGCGGACATCGGAGGCCGTGGATGTTCTGCCCCTCCTGGGGTCGGGAGCGGCCAAGAGGGGGGTGTCCAAGAGGGGGGGGGTGCAAATCATGACCGGCGGCATGTGCGCGGCCCAGCGGGGGGGCCAGGGACGCAATGAAACAAGAAGAGGCGCCCTGAAATCTGGGGAGATATCATGGCCCCCGCCATGATATCCATCCCCCCCTAGTCATCACCCCCCTCTTTTCCGCCCTCGATGGGGGGGGGGCGCGCCCAGAATCGAATCGATAAGTCGGATCGGCGATCGCATTGAATCGGATCGGGGGGAATCGGCAGCCAGGTTGGGAGAAGGCGAATCGGCGGACATCGGAGGGCTAACTTGCCTCCCATGAGAGATCGGAACCCAAATCGGAATCCCAAGTCGAATCGAATCGGAATCGGAAGCCATCGAAGTCGAATCGAGTCGAATCGGAGGAATCGAAACGAGCCCTGGGAAGGGGGTGGGGCCCGAGGCTTGGGGCTCGGAGCCTGCTATCCGCACCCGGGAAGCCGACGGAACCGAACGGGCCGAGCGCACGCGACTGCGGCGTACAGTCGGGGCGTTGACCTAAGGAACCCGAAAGAGGAACGAGGCCCCTTTTCTCCATACAAGTTAAACTTCGATTTCCTGTCGAAAACTTAAGGACAAACTGAGGCAAGCTGTGAAACACTTAAGGAACGCGGAGCCCCTCCCCAACGAAAAGAGTTCCTTCTTCAGGGCCCCGACTGTATAGCCGAACGGACCGCGCCGCGGACACCTTTGCCGGGTCGGACGCGAAGGGGGCAACAAAAGGCCAGTTTTCAGTGGAGGCCCGATCGCAAGAAACCTTCCACAAAAAACCGAACCCTGAGACCCCATGACGTCCAGTGATTTCTGGTGTGGAAACGTCACGCCTTCCACAGAACGATCGAAACCCAAGAAACCCAGGGCGCCCTGGAGGCAAGCAGGGTGTTTCTTGGCATGGGCCTGCACTGTAGCTGATTTTCCTGGCGCCTCCCCGCCATGCGAGACGCCAAGGAGTCGAGGAAGGCGCCGCGCGGCGGGCCCGAGGCAGCTGCCAGAGTTGACGTGCTTCTCTCCTGCCTTGCCCTGTTCCCGTCGCCACTGGTCCGCCGAGAACTCGTCAGTGGGACGTTTCGGGTCTTGTTCTCCACATCCGTCGGGCTCCTGAATAATCGATCCTGCTTCTATTTCTGCTTCTCCTCCTCCTCCTCCTCTTCCTCCTCGTCCCGCCCCTGTCCGCTTCAGCCCGCGAACGGAAGGAGGGCGATGAGGAATGCCACAGTGCAACGTCGGCCTGAGGCCACCCTGGGTCCATCGGTAAACCTTGACGGGCGCCATGGCATGCCGAACCCCTTTCAGCGAAACGAGAAACAGAACCGCCCGCGGCTGCTGCTCCGCCCACGCCAGTCCCACTTACATTTGGTTGACCCAGAAAGGGGTCCAGCTGAAAGGAGGTGGTGCAATAGATTCGGCTACTGCGCCGGATAATTGTATTGCATTGTATTGCAACTTATGCATTGCACGCGAAACCGAGCAATACGTATGCGCACTGGAATGTATTGCACGCCTCAAATCTAATGCAACCCACAAATCTCCTGCACCAGATCTAGTGCACCACCCCCTTGTAGCTGGACCCCCTTTTGGGTCAAACAGATTACATCCTCAACCTCGTCCTCTTCTACCCACCTGGCTCCTCCGGGACTTCTTTTATCCGTTCGGCGTCGAAGGTCAGAATCTCGGTGTGGGAGATCACATCGTCCAGGGCCCACTGGTCCTGAGGAGGGGAGGGGTGTGAGGTTGGGGTGGGGCCAAGAACGAAGGATAGCAAGCAGCTAGATGATCCAGAAAGACGCTGTGGCGCTCACCCCCCCGCCCTTTCCGGGACTACTCCGGGAGACGCCCCAGGGGAGAACTCCACGGCCAGGCTGGGTGAGTGCGGCGTCTGCCAGGCCTAGCGAGGGGGCGGCGCCTTCAGCCCAATCCTCTCGAGAGCCTCTCGAGAGGGACAATCGATCACCTTGTCCATAGTCACCAGGCCACCAGAAGGAACGCTGGCTAACGACAGATCTTCTCTGGCCACGGCGAGCATCGGCCACGAACTCGTTCCCCGACATAGATTGCAGAAACGGCCCGAAAGCCACAGTCCCTCCTGAGCCCGAAGTGGTCCTCTTGCCTGTACCGAGATAGCGACGCCATCAGCACAACCCTCTCGGGAGGTGCAATTGTCCAACCTGTTATGGATGAGCGGGTGTCTTCGCCAGGGCACCACGACAGTCCCTGTGCAACGGAGAGGCTGGCTGCCAGAGCTGCAGGGCAGCAACCGTTCCCGCCGTCGGTGGTTGGCGCGCGGGGGCGTCGGGGGGCGCAGGCTGGCGATGGTGGGCATGGGCAAGTGAGGGTGCGGGAGGAGTGGGTGGGTGGGATTGGGCTGGTGAGTGGGCATGGTTGAGTGCAGGATTTAGATGAGGCGAGAACCGGGACAAACTCTGAGCAGGACACACTGGGGATCTCTGAGATCCAGCGGCTCTGGAGGATGTATCGGGCGCCGCGGCCGTTCCAGAGCGCTCTGGAACGCTCTGAGACAGTATTGGAACGCTCTGGGACGATGTAACCCGGCCCTAGCCCCGCGCGATGGGCGCAAGGTGGCCCTTCCTGGGTAACCAAATCAGCACATGTGTCTGCTTTCGCCTTCTCCCGTGTGCGTTTGCAGGGCGCCCCTGATGCTGCAGGAACAAGCCGTCGGGGCATCGGCAGTGAAGCCCTCATATGGGTGGTTGACCTTTGTCATCGCGAGCTAGACTTAGGTCGGGCATGTCCTCCTACAGGCGGATTTTGGAAGACAAATGCAACACAGTCAACAGAGAATCAAACATCGTCAAAAGAGCACGCAAAATCATCCCCCTACCATCTTCGCTATTCTTGAACGTTCCTTCTGTGGGGGGGCACGACGTGCCCGACGTGCCGCAGGACTGGAGATTCCGATTACACTTGTACGTACCCGAACCACAACGCAAGCACAGAGAATACGGGGAGGAGGGGGGGCGGATGCGCCGCGGCGGCAGGAAGGGTTCAAGGGGCAGGGGTGTGCCAAGCAGAAGGGAAGGATGGCTTAGGAACGAGCGAAAACTTCGTGGGCCCTGCAAACAACAAGGCCGTGTTTTTACCGGTTCCGTCTGCCGTTTTCGCTGCCAAATCCGACGCTGTTATTTTGTCGGTTCCGTCGCCATTGATTTGTCCGTGTTCGGCTCTGGTTCCAATCCCGTTGCGCCGCTTCCATTTTCAAGAGGCACTTGTTCTGAGCCGTGAAAAAAATGGCTTTGCCGTCTCCGGGGCCCACTAAGAACGAGGATGCACGAACATGTGGAGAGTTACGCCCAAGGGGGGATCGTCCAGATTTGCAACAAACATTCTTTAACACTCGATTGAAGTGCCCCGCTCACACATTCCTTTCCGGACGAGGGATCCTCCACTGCGAACTGCTAGCGTCTATATCAAGCGGCAAGTGTCGGCTGACTTGGCGTAACATATCACATGTGCACTTAGAAGGACACACCCACGGCCTCGTCACCATTATGCACTTTCATCACGATTCTAGCGGTAGCACATCACCCCACGTCTCCCATCACAGAAGGGCTGCCAAGAACAAAGGCGATTCCTTCTTGTGTTGCCTAGTGACTTCCTGTCGCATGCCGGTGAGGAAACCCTGGGCGTTGGTGAAGCCCGTGAGCCAATACGACTGGGCACCCGGCCACCAAAATTATTCCTCTTGAGAAAATACTCGAACCCCTCGCCGTCATCTTCACTCGCCATCTCGCTGTCATGCCAAATCCCAGCCAGAGAAATTTACGCTGCGCGGGCCTTGCTGGCTGGCTGGCAGCATAGAAGAACGGAGGGGGAGGTGGTAGAGGGAGGAGGGAGGAGGGAGGAGGGAGGTGGTAGAGGGAGGGGGGTAGGGGGAGGTGGTAGAGCAAGGAGCGAGGAGGAGGGAGGAGGACGAGAAGGGGAGGTGGTAGAGAGATGTGGGAGGTGGTATAGGAAGGAGGGAGGAGGGCGAGGAGGAGGTGGTGGGGTGGTGATGTGTGCGTGCGTGCGTGCGTGCGTGCGCGTGCGTGTGTGTGTGTGTGTGTTGTGTCTGTGTGTGTTGGGTGGTTGGGGGGAGGGAGGGGGTCAAAAACAACAACGACGAAAACCTGATTGACCCCCCCATCAACCTTCCCCCTCCCCCCCCCAACACACCGCGCCACCACCGCCACTGGACTGGAACTGCTAGGCCCTTTACCGCATTCTAGCCCCTCGGACCTCCCCCCCCGCGCCACCACGGGCGGTACGGGGGGGCATCCTTCCAGGGTCGCTCCCTTTCCCGCCTTTCCTCCCTCTCCACCTCCGTTCCTCTCCCTCCTCACTCGCTCACTTCCCCTCCTCTCTCTCTCTCTCTCGCTCTCTCTGTGTGTGTTGGTTGCTGGGGGGGCCCAAAAACGAAACTTGGTGCCTCACCTATGAACGTCTTTTCCCAACCGTCATGTGGTGTTGGGTCCTCGTTTTGAAAGGACAGCCTCCCCGCGTCCCTCCTCCCATTCTCCTCCACTTCCTCCCTCTTCCCATTCCTCGCCTGTGCCCTCCGCCCTTCACACGCTTCGTGGCCCCAGAGGGAGCTCCACCGAAGGCCCCAGTGGCAGTCCGCATGGCGTAACCGCATCCAATTTGGCACACCCCCTCACACGTTTCGTGGCCCCATAGGGAGCTCCACCGAAGGCACCAGTGGCACAGTCCGCACGGCGCACTCGCATCCGATTTGGCACACCCCTCACATGTTTCGTGGCCCAACGGGGAGCCCCACCGAAGGCCCCAGTGGCGGTGTTCGCATGCGTCCCCCCTCCACTCAGTACAGCGCTTCGTGACCCAACAGGGAGCCCCACCGAAGGCCACAGTGGCGGTGTTCGCATGCGTGCCCCCAACCCAGCACAGCGTTTCGTGGCCCATAGGGAGCTCCACCGAAGGTCTCAGTGGCGGTGTTCACATGCGTCTCCCCCACCCAGCACAAAACTTGGTGGCCCCATAGGGAGCTACACCGAAGGCCCCAGCGGCGGTGTTCGCATGCGCTTCCCCCACCCAGAACAACACTTCGTGGACCCAGAGGGGGCTCCTCCGAAGGCCTCAGTGGCAGTATTCGCATGCGCCTCCCCCGCCCAGTGCAGCGCTTCATGGCCCCATGGGGAGGCGGCGTTCGCATGTGCCCCACACCACTCAGTGCAGCGCTTCGTGACCCCATAGGGAGCTCCACCGAAGGCCCCAGGAGCGGTGTTCGCATCGTTTCGTGGCACCATGGGGAGCTCCACCGAAGGCCCCAGTGGCGGTGCTCGCATACATTTCCCTCGCTCAGTACAGCGTTTCGTGACCCAATGCAGAGCTCCACCGAAGGCACCAATGGCGACATTCGCATGGCGGCCCCGCTCCATGTCGGCACACCCCTCACACGCTTCGTGGCCCATATGGAGCGCCACCGAAGGCCCCAATGGATGCCCTCGCATGTGTCCCCGTCTCATCTTGGCACACCCTTTACACGCTTCGCAGCTCCTTAACGAGATCCACCGGATGCAATGGCCACAGGGGCCGTACTCACAACCGCATGTGGTTGGGCCCTTCGCCAGGATACTGTTGTCCCCCCAACACACCGCGGTCTAGGAAGGAGGGAGGAGGGCGAGGAGGTGGTGGGGTGGTGATGACTGCGTGCGTGCGTGCGTGCGTGCGTGCGTGTGTGTGGGTGTGTGTGTGTGTATGTGTATGTGTGTGCGTGTGTGATTGTGTGTGTTGGGTGTTTTGGGGGGAGGGAGGGGGGCAACCAACAACAACGACGACCACCTTATTGACACCCCATCAGCATTCCCCCTTCCCCCCCAACATACGTATGTTGGGGGGGGGGCGGGTGCGGTATGCTTAATACCCACGCGCGTACGCTTAATACGTCGTTCAGTAAGGGACGTTCTGTACCCTTAATACGTGGTGGCGCGGTATACATACAGCGCCACCACCGCCACTGGGCTGGGACTGCGGGGGGGGCACTCTACAGCACTCCAGCCTTTCGGACCCCCCCCCCATGCGCCACCACGGGCGACATGGCGGGCGTCCGTACAGGGCCGCTCCCTCTCCCGCCCCTCCCCCTCTCCACCTGCCTTCCTCTCCCTCCTCACTCGCTCACCTCCCCCTCCCTTCTCTCTCTCTCTCTCTCTCTCTCTCTTCCTTCTCTCTCTCTCACACCTCCCCTTCCCCTCTCTCTCTCTCACTCACTCACTCCCTCCCCTCTCACCTCCCTTCCTCTCGCTCTCTCTCTCTCTCTATATGTCCCCCCCTCTCTCTCTTTCTCCCCCCTTAGTCCAGACCGCAGACTCCACAAGCCCCCCTCCTCCAATAACAATGCCACGCCACAGAAACGATGTGTCGCGTGATGGCCGTGGCGATTATCGGCACGCCCTCCCTGGACCTCTTCAAACCACTCCCACCTTACACGCTGATCCCTAAACTCAAAGTGATGCTGTCGACCGCAACTATCTCGACATGCAACGTGCACCAACAACGCGACGCCAACCAATATGACAGGCGTCATGGCCTTTCGACTTTTGATCCTGCGCCATCCCTGAACCTCCCTAGCCACTCCATACTTGCACGAGGAACCCTGGGCTGTAACTGCAACAGCGCAACACGGCGCAGGAACACAAACTAGTGCCAGGACAACCTACACCACAACGACACACGTCAGCGCAGCGAACTACAACGACCGCACCGTCGCGACTGTTGACCACGGTGCGTGGCGAGTCAGACACCACCACCCCCGAATATACCCAACGCGTCTTGGCTCACATTAGCAGCTCGGCCACACGAAACCTTCCACAGGACACCCCGCCCTGAGACCCCAGGACGTCCGTCGATGCTTTGCGTGGGAGCGTCACGCTCTCCACAGCAGCACCGTCGAACCCCAAGAAACACCCGCGGCACCCTGGAAGCACGCATGGTGGTTCTAGGCATGGGCTTCCACTGTATGAGAAGCACCGTGCGCTGCACTACAAACAGAACAATCCAGACGTAACACCTGACATTTGCATTTGCAAATGCAAGAGCTGCTTACGATCGCGGCGGTTGGCACGCTGGGCGCCGCACCCTCTGCGAAACCCCACCGCGCACCCCTTTCCTCCAAGAAACAACAGAACAAAGACTCCCAACTTACACGTGTAACCATCGAGGGACCCGTACACTCACGACCCTCCAACAACTCCCACACCGCACCACCGACCCTCCCTTCGGCATAGAACTCCCAACTCACAGCTCCCAACACCCCCCCCCAGCCCCAACAAGCCAACGCAAGACCAGTCAGCAGCAGAGCTCAGGAAAAAGACACGAACAACGAACGCTGCAATTCAATAGGCACCCTGCAGTGCTCGCGCCATGATCGTTTGCGCTTTGGCACCACGCTCCTCCTGAGCCTCCACAAACCACGCCAACCTCACACGCGGAATTGCGCCTGCCCAAATTGAAATAGCGAAGCGCACCGCAAACCGGTGCAACGCGACATACACACCATGACAACGCCACACAATATGGTTCGTGATATGCACGTTGGAGCTGTGACGACATGACTTCCCCGCGTGTTTCCCAAACCACTCCAGACCCACACGCGGAATCCGAAGCACAAGACGACACATATATATATATATATATATACACATATACATATACATCAAAAAACCCACCGCGAAAACACAACACACCACTGCACAATGCACTGCCATGCAACGCAGACTGCGAAATTGAGACCAACGCATTTGTATCATCGCAATGGCTGGCACGTTGAGGACCGCACCCTCCCCGAACAGATGCAGGCCTCTCCCGACTCACACGAAGAGCCTTGAGCTGGAATTGAACCCGCTGAGCGCCGCGAATACATCAATCATACGTCCAACGACAATGCAATACGCACTGCAAAAGAAACCAGCAACCGCGTCGCAAAAACAAGCGCTGCGTATGATCACTATGGTTGACGCGTTGGGCACCACAACATCCCTACGCATACCCGAACCTACCTGCGACATCCTTCCGAAACACAAACTGAACCAATCAACCGCACCGCAGAACAGCGTGGAATGTACACAAAAAGCCGCAACCGCAATCGCAAACTGCACAGCCGCAGTACATCAATGTCGCATCGTGGTCGCTTGCGCGCTGGCGCCATACCCTCCTTGAACCTCCGCCAATTACTCCCGCCTCCCACGCGGGATGAGATGCCCAAGTCGAAGCAGCCAGACTTGGAGCTCTGCTGCCACACTCCCCCCAAATCTCTCCCGACCACCCCTTCCTAACACGAGGAATCCTACGCCCAAATCGGATCGGTCGAACTCAAAGCCAAGCCACACGCTAAGATAGGTTATTTTCAAACGATCGAACTTCAGCCAACGACAATTGCGATTTGGCTGCCTGTCCACCTCCCCGGCGCGCGCTGTACGGATGAGAACTCCCCGCCCCCTCTGTTAGTGTAACCGACAAAGCTGGTGCCGATTGGACTTATCCCCTGTGCGCTGTCTGCCTGCTCTGCCTCCTGAGGGGCGTGTTCCTCTTCAGTGTTCCTTCTCTGCACCCCGACAAAAGAAGCTCGGCGGCCGACAGTGCAAAAGTGAGGTGCCGCCTGCAACACACGACGCTGCATCATGGAAGCGCAACTAAAGAGCAGTGGTGGGTGTAAGAAGACTGCCCCGCAAGAGCACTGAGTAAACAGAGCGTGCTGTACTCGGATCATGCGTATCCCCCTCAATCGCTGTTAGAGCATCATGTCGCCGCTTGAAGGAACCACCTCCTGCTCCATCGGATCGGGACTTGCACAGACTCTGAAGAAGCTTGTGTCTACCAAAGTATCCAACACAATCGATGCCCCAATCCGCTGTCCAGCTCCACCCTCCCGTCACCTCACAGCAGCTGATGGGCAGCGCGATGGCGCGGCGAGTGCAGACAAAGGACTGACGCAAGCTGCTATCAATCAAACTCTTGCCATCAGGGCCCTTGAGCATAGAGCAACGTGGCCTCTGCTAGGCCCCGCGTGTGCCCAGGAGCGCGCCGGGGGAAGAACCCAAGGAATGACCTGGGGATCCTCGAGCCCTGCCAGAAGCCAGCGCTGCCCTGCCCGCCCTAACATCATGGCGGTGCGCACTCCCTTGCCTCGAGCTGACCCCCGAGCCTTCATGACAGCGCGCCCTTCTTCCAACCACTTGAACAACATGGCGTGCCGCTCCACGAGCCCTGTGAACCTGACGCCATGCAAACAGAAGGGTCCGATGTTTTATCACATGCTCCATGGATCACCATGCCAACATCGTCTGGCAGTGCACTATCAAATAACTGGCATGGCCGAGGCCAGAGTTTCGCTAGGCACCCGCCGTAACGGTATGGACAGCCAACCAACGCTTACCAATCAAGTAAATAACGATTCACTCAACATGGTCCCTCTGCGTCCGCATGCGCAAAAGGATACGTTATGCAGTGGGCGGGCCATGATCGCCGAAAAGATCGGTTGTCCTTTTGGTGGTGCTGGTGACGCTTCTTCTCCTTATTATGATTATTCTGTATCTTCTTCATCCGACAATGGGCTCCACCATTCATGATTCCTCGACCGAGTTGGGGTGCGGAGTCCAGTGTCAGGCTAGGTCACGCCGCTCTTCGGAAAAGAGGTGAGCTGCAGGCGCACATACGTAAACGAGCGCATGCTGCACCACAACGCCAAGGGATCACGTCTTCCTTCTTCGGTGCCCTCGCAGCTGCCCTCGTCCGAGATGCTAACGTCTGCCCATCTGTATGGGCGCTGCTGAAAACAGCTGCAACCTGCGGGTGGAAACGATGATGGTCCCGACTCCGACGACGAATGCACTGCGTGGGTCCCGCTCTGTTCTGGCCCGGCTGATGGCTGCCGTCCCACGCTTTCGACGCGTGGCCGTGGGGGAGGGCTCCCCGGGCGGCAGGCCCAGGCTGCGCCACGCTGCCGCCCGTGCCGCCTCGTGGGCGGCCCCGTGCGCTGGGTGTGTGCGTGAAAGGAGGAGGAGGAGGAGGAGGAGGAGGAGGAGGAGGAGGAGGAGGAGGAGGAGGAGGAGGGAGGAGGGAGGAGGAGGAGGGGAGGAGGAGGAGGAGGAGGAGGAGGAGGAGGAGGAGGAGGAGGTGTGTGTGTGTGTGTGTGTGTGTGTGCGTGCGTGTGGTGGTGTGTGTGTGTGTGTGTGTGTGTGTGTGTGTGTGTGTTGTGTGTGTGTGTGTGTGTGTGTGTGTGTGTGTGTGTGTGTGTGTGTGTGTGTGTGTGTGTGTGTCTGTGTCTGTGTCTGTGTGTCTGTGTCTGTGTCTGTGCCGAAGTTGCGCCGCGGTGCCGCCCGCGCCGCCCCGTGGGCGCCCCCAGCTTGGGGGGGGCACGCCGCGCGGCTCTGCCAACGCTGCCGCCTCGCGGGCGCCCCGCGGGCTCTCCCCGCACGCTGCCGGGAAGCTGCCGAGGCTGCGCCACGCTGTCGCCCCGGGCCGCCTCGTGAGCGCCCTGTGCTTTGAACTTACAATCGGGGGCTTGACCTAAGGAACCCTAAATGAGGAACGAGGCCCCTTTTTTCCATGAGTTGAACTTCGATTTCCCATCGAAAACCAAAGGAAAACCTGAGGCAAGCTGCGAAACACTTAAGGAACGCGGAGCCCCTCCCCAACCAAAACGGTTTCTTCTTCAGGGCCCCGACTGTAATGCGGGATGACGATTCATAAAAGCATGGGAGAGAACGACTTTAAAAAAGTTTCCTGCTATTTCTGCACAATTTTCTGACCGGAGGAGAACGATTCAAAGAAAATAGCTTTCCAGCCCGCGGCCGGTTTTTTCTAATCGTCATCCCGGGCGCCGCCGCGTGAACACGACCCCCGGTCATTTATTAATCGTCATCCTCCATTCGCCTTCACAGTTCGAAGGGATCCCAAGGGCCCTCGGCCGAACCCGCGGGCCACCCGGAAGGACGCGAGAGGACGCGGAAGGGCGCGTAAAAACCCCGGCGTCCAACACCAATCGCCCCAATACGGCCAAGATGGCCCAGGATGGCCGCCAAGACGCCTCCAAGATGGCGAAGATCGCCCAAGCTGGCCCCCTCCGACGGTCCCAGGATGTCTCCAAGACGGGCCGAGTTGCCCCCAGGGTGGCCCGAGAAGGCCCCAGGATCGCCCAAGACGGCGTAGGCCTCCAAGAGGACCTCCAGGAATGCCCAGAGAGACCACCATCATTGATCCCCTCAAGGTTTTCAAGGGCTGCGGCGTTTGCTCATGTTCGGTTTTCAGACGGCTTCCCTCCCCCGGCCGCAGGGCCGGAAGAAGCGTCGGTGTATATAGAGATCGAGTCCCTGCTTCGAGGAGGAGGAGGAAGAGGAGGAGGAGGAGGAGGAGGAGGAGGGAGGAGGAGGGAGGAGGAGGAGGAGGAGGAGCAACCGAGACGGCCCCAGAGGCCACCAAGATGGCCCGCACGAGCGCCCGCGAGGCCTCCGGGGTGCCCCCCTGACCGCCCAAGAGGCCCCCCACACGGCCCCCAGGAAGCTCCGAGGAGACCCTCAGGAGGCCTCCTGGCTTCTGAATCCCTCCCGTCCTCTTAGTCTTTATCCCCCTCGTTATCCCCCGGGAGGGATTCCACAACGACTGGAAGAGCGCGTCACTCCGATAGCCTGGCCGAGCTCTGGCCACAACGTTCGGCCACATAGGCGCTGCCAAAAAGGCCGGGGGCGACAGTGATTCGCCATAGGCGACTCAGAACCGCCACCCCCTGTGGCTTGCCACAGGGGTGCACGGCGTGCTAGACGTTAGGTAAGTGTTGGTCCCTGGGAAGGTTCCCAAGGGCCTTCGGCCCAACCCGCCGGCCACCCACAAGGACGCGAGAGGATTCAGAATGACGCATAAAACCTCAACGTCCGACAACAATCGCCCCAATACGGCCAAGATGGCCCAGAATGGCCGCCAAGACGCTTCCAAGATGGCTAAGATGGCCCAAGCTGGCCCCCCCGACGGTCCCGAGATGTCTCCAAGACGGGCCGAGTTGCCCCCAACATGGCCCAAAAGGGCCCCAAGATCGCGCAAGACGGCCCAAGAGGCCTCCAAAGGGGCTCCGTGACGGTCCAAGAGGCCCCCAAGACGGTCCCAAGAGGGCCCCACGACGGCCTAAGAGACCTCCAAGATGCCCAAGACGGTCTCCAAGACGGCCCTGAAGCGCCCTAAGAGGGCCCCAAGTCGGCCCAGAGTGGCCCCCCTAGACGGCTCCCGACGGGCCATGACTGCTCTGAGACGGCCAAAGAGCCTCCCAAACGAGCCTCCAACGGCCGCCAATAGGCCCAGGGAAGCCTCCAAGAGGCCTTCAATAGGCCCCCAGAAAGATCCCAGGAGGCCACAAGAAGGCCCCAAGAGGCTCCCAAAGGGCCTCCCACTCCCCCTACTCCTCCTCCTCCTCCTCCTCCTCCTCCTCCTCCTCCTTCTCCTCCTCCTCCTCCTCCTCCTCCTCCTCCTGCTCCTCCTGCTCCTCCTGCTCCTGCTCCTGCTCCTCCTCCTTCTCCTCCTCCTCCTCATCCGTTGTCCACCCTTCCCTCCTCTTCTACTTTCTCCCCCCTGGGTTCCCCGAAGAGTTTCTGCAACGGCTGGCGGAGCACGCAATCCAACAGCTTAGCCCAGCTCTGGCCGCAACTTTGGGCCACACAGGCTCTTTCAAAAAACATGGGGCGGAGAAGATTCGCCATAGACGCCTTCGATAGTGAAACTGATATAGATCGCGAGGTCGATTGATAGGGAGGTGGAGCAATCGATCGACATTTTTGTAATGAGGTAGAACGGCAGATTGTGTGGACCGATTGATGGGGAGATCAAGACAGATGAATTGGTACATCGCGAGTACGCCAATCGCAAATCGAACGCTACGCCCATCCCCCGTTTCCGAATGGGGTGGGATGGAGAGGATGCGCGGCTGGCACCCCATACGGGAAAACGGCAGGACTGCCTAACGTAAGTGTGGGTGCGTGTGCTGATCGTTGCTGATCCCTGTCCCCGTGAACGCCTCGAACGGATCGGCCACAATCCACAACCTGCGCAGATGCTTGCTTTAGAGAAGCGCTGGTTTGCTGCGATGCCTGCGCACTGCCCCTCTGACGCCTCTGACGCCTTTCGGACAGCGGGGATACCAGCGCTCATCGCTTTCACAGAGGGCTCATTCAAGTGAACCCCACCAACCCCTTTAGGGCGTGAGTGGTTTAGAGCAGTTCCTCGCACAACCACCCTTCTTCCCCTCTGGGGAGGGTTGTCTCCTCCCTCTACCTGTACCTGGAGGGGTGGGGGGGTCGCGACCGACTGGAGCGTCCAAGAAGGCGTCGGAGGGACGACAACAATCATTGAGGTTACTAAGGTGTTGGACGCATCGGCCTCCTGGGAAAGCAATGCTAATTTGATCACCTTCCTTCTTTGACCTCCTCCACGACGGCCCCAAGGTAGCCCCGAAGGCTCCCAGTAAGGCCCCGAGAGGCGCCCAGGAGGCCCCAAGAGGCCTCCAAGAGGCCCCCCAAAAGGCTCCCAAGAAACCCCTAAGAAACCCCAAGAGGCTCCCAAGGCACCCAATACGCTCTAATTGGCCCCTGGGACCGCCAAGAAGTCCCCAAGACGCCCCAAGAGGACTCCAAGAAGCTCTCAAGAGACATCCGAAGGGACCCCGAGAGGCATCCAAGAGGCCTCTGGTCGTTCTGCTCGCCCACCTCCCTCTCCTTCTCCTCGTCCTAATCCGCCCAATCCATTTCGTCCCTCCTACTCCCCCCTCCTCCCCCTTCCTCCTCCTCCGACTCCTCCTCAATCCTACCCCTCTTGAGGTATGACGGCTGTCCCAATCCCTTATTAGATTACATGCTCCTCCCCACGCCTGATCAGGGCAACTAGTCTGGGCATCGTTTCTGGATGGGCTGGTGGGGCTAAGCGAAGCGTCTCGAATTTTGAGCCTCGCTCACCCGGCGTGTTGGAGGCTTGGCAGCTGGACCGATGCGTTAGACCTGACAGCAACATGCACACATGACAGAGAACGTTCATTGCGGTTACTGGTGACAAAGACTACGACCAACCATGAATCATACAAGCCTTGCACAAATATTCCGCAAATGTGTTACCATCGTGTCGAAGGCTAAGCGTTACATGCGAGACAATATTCACAAGCAAACCGTTACTACTAGGAGTAAGCAGCGCCCGAAGAACCAGCCACCCAAGTTCGGCATCAACCAAGATATCTCTGCGCCACTTGCATCATTTGTCCAGCTGGTCGGAACACGAGCATCAAATATGTAGCTCAAGTCCTGGTTGCATTATCAAACAAGTGCGAATCGTCATAGCAGAAAAGCCAAACACCGCATGCTATTTCAACCAAGATGAATTCTATGGTTACGGCTTGGACAGAACCAGTCGCACGCATGGTACTTCACTATACCTAGCTACATACGCGAATGCCTGCCACGCGTATGTCAAAGTAGGCTTACAGGTGCCCACAACCACATGTCTGCAGTAAAAGCGCGCCTTGCTTCGCATCGCAAGCTCATCGTGCTCTTGCATGAGGTAGTAGGCAGTACTCGAACCGATTCATATGTATGAGCGCAGGTCTGCTGGATAGCGTCCAGAACATGTCATGTGATCATCTGCTCGCAGTCATGCCCAGACAAGCTGAGAAGTCTTGGTGCCATTCACCCGTTTCCCCCTCCACCCCTACTCGAAATTCACCTTCAACAGATTGGAGACCGTTGTTTTTTGGAATCGGCTATAACCCGAGTTATCCCGGGGGGGGGGAGGAGGTGGCCAGCCGATAACCTAACCCTCGCGCTGTGGGCAGCCCTGCATTATGCCCACGCCCCCCCTCTCGCGGACCTGCAGAACCGGCAAGGTTAGGTTGTCCTGGGGGGGGGAGGGGGGGCAAGCCCGACTACCCGGGTTAACTGGACCCTAAACAAAACAGTCCCTTGATCCCACGGTGCTCCCTCCACGGATCTTCATCTCGCACGTGCTCAGACCCGCTGGTCGCTGCTCTTGCAACCCGAGAGCCTCCCCGAGATGGACCACACGTGCGCAGGATGACCGGGGATGGACAGTCCCCCCTTTAGCAAAACGTGGTTTAGTGAAAACGACCTGAGGCCCAAACCTGGCGGGCGCAAGCCCGGAAAATATCAGCCACGGCGCCATCTCGAAAACCGAAAACGGACAATTCACTAATCGACGTGTCACTGCTCGAAATGACCCCCGAAATGACCCTGCTCCCTGAGCCACGCTGACGCCCTCGCCGCGACACTCCATCCGCAATCGCCGCCCAGCGGCACCGCAAAAGCACACCCCCACACAAACACACACTGCGTAAACACCAACACAGACACAGACACACACACACACACCACACACACCACACACAATACACACATACACACACACTGCGCGCACACACACAACACACAACACGCAACACACAACACACAACACACAACGCACACACACACACACTCACACACACACACCCCTGACAGTCCCGCCGAGACGTTGAAACGGCTGGGCGATCTCGCCCTGGCCAGCGCCGAGACACGCCAAAACGGTGAACACGCTATGTATCCGCAGTCTGGAAGACGCGTCGCTGCTGCGATCGATTGCGCCCCTGACGCGGCCGGCATCAGACGACCTGCTGATCTCTGGGGGGGGGGGCCCTCCTGCAATGCGCCTGCTTCTGGACCATCCCGGGCCCCGATCTCGCAGTGGGAATTGCAAAGCGACACGCGTTTTGTCGCGAGGCCCCGTGGCCGTCCAACACAAAATAGGGACGAAAACCTGGTCATGGTGAAGAGGTCCAGACCGTCAGGAGTCCACATTAAATAGAAATCTCGGCGTCGAGGTCTTCGTCTGGACCTTCACAAATCTTCCGCAAAAGAAGACTGTGTTTGGCCTGTTCCAACGTGCTTCTGGCCACGACGACATGCATACGTTCTCCCTCATCCGCCGCCTCTTCACCCCTTTCTTTCTCCTCCTTTTCCTATTCCTCACATCCTTTCGCCCCATAGTCTCCTCCTCCTCCTCTATCCTTACACCTTCCGTTAGACACCCGTCAAATCATGTTACTCACTGGCGGCCCAAGGGGGCCACCATTTTTGAGAACACCCGACCTGCCCTCTTGCAGAAACGCCGTGATCCTGCAACAACTCGGTGGTCATGACCACCGTGCCATCAATTGCCATAGTCACGTTCTTGAGGTTCGTCCGGACAATCTTGATAATGTTCTGAAGTCGCTGCAACTCCTCGATAATGGGACGACGCGACTCATAGCATCGTGACGGGCGCATGCTTCACACGTTTACGCGGGAACAGCAATCAACCAGCACAACCATATCGAGGACGCACCCTCGGGGATGTTCTGCGCACGCCAGCAATCGCAAGAACACCGAAACTAGCTCAATACTGGTTGTGGTCGGTGTGGGCGTCCAGGACGGCCAAACTGACCACACCCACAACCAAAATGCTCATGTCGAGGTCGACGGTCTCTCCACCGAAGGGCCCCCCTGCAGCACAATCCACTGAGTCGTGGTTGCGGTTCGTGGTTGCGCCAAGAAGGTCGCATCGTTGCCGTGACAGCACAGCGCATGATTGCGAGACATCCCCGCGTGATTTGCTGCAAGAATGCACGTGCACATGCATGCAGGTTTTGCGCTTCCGTTGCCGCCGAGGCTCGAATCTAGAAGCCACTCTTTGACACGAACCAGAGCAAGGCATTAAACAGTTGCGCATCCACAGCTCGAGGGATCTTCGGCTTCAGCGGGCTACCCGCTTTGGGGGGGAGGGGGAGGGAGGCGCCGGCCGATGACCTGACCTTGATCGCTTTCGGCAGCCCCACGTATGACAGCGCGCACCGGGGCTGCGTACCCCCCTCGAACCTGCGCAACCAGCAAGGTCCAGTTACCCAAGGCGGGGGGGAGGCGGGCCCGATGGCCTGGGTTGTCGCGGGACCTTTGGGAACAAAAACAGTCTCAAGTTTGCCTTGACGGCCACGCGCCCCTCGCGCCGCAGCCGGTAGCAGTGGGGCGCGTGCACGCAGCACGTGGCGAAAGACGACAGATGAACTGGGAGAAGCGGCGGTCAGAGCGACGTGGGCGGCGCCGAATTCGAAAGAGGGGCGAGACAGAAGGCAAGAACGTGCAGGAAGGAGTATGGAACGCAGCAGGACGTACTGGTTCTCTGTGCTGAGGTCGACGGCGCACGTCTGACACGAGCATTATTTGGTACACGAGCGTTATAAGTAGTGTACCGATGCCCGAGCGGTGTGTCCGGAAGGCGCCCGCCACGAAGCTTCTGCTATCAGATTTCGGAGCGTGCGCGCCGTCCTTGAATGACGGCGAGCGCGCAGTACCAGTACTTTAGTCGTGGAAACACTTGGTTTTCAAAATGTTTGGTCTTTAGGAGCTCTGCGTGGCGACGCCCCCGTCGCCGCGCGTGCCCTCTGCGTGCCTGCGGGGGCACCGCCACGCAGAAGTACTGGAGACCGAGCATTTGGGGCGTCGCTACGCACGCCCTCTGCATGGCTGCGACCATTGGTTAAAACCCTAAAACAAATTAATTTCACTAAGAAAGTACCAGTAGCGGTGCCGCGAGGAAGCGCAAACCACAGACGCACGCAGCGTCCCCAGCCATGCCAGCAGGGCGTCCACACCGCCGGCCACGCGGCTGGGGGCTGCAGAGATGCACTGTTGGGTCGGGCAGGTCCCCCTACAGAGGGGGGCTTCGGGCGAAAAATAAAAAAATACCCCCCCCCAAAAAAAAAAATACGCACAAATATCTAAAGCATGCTCCAAAAATGGTCCCAGACTATTTTTTGACTATTTTTCAACACTCCTCTTGTAATGCATACAAACATTTAAAACATGCTCCAAAAATGAAAAATGAAAAATACTCCTAGGGGGAAAACAAGCCTACCTCGCTTTGGACCACCCTCGCTTCCAAGAGATACCAAACGATCCCCAATTGCAGCCTGTACTGGTCAGGCCGCTTGACGAGGAGGCGCGTGGTATGGCTTGGTTTTGCCTGGAAGCGAAAGCGGGGTAGGTAATGCACGCTCTGAACTCCAAAAATACACACAAATATCTAAAACATGCTCCAAAAATGGTCCCCAGACTATTTTTGGTGGACTATTTTTGAGCACTCCTCCTGTGGGGGGGCAGGCCCAACTTTAAGTGTACTGTGCTTTGTGACGCGCCGCCGGCCCGCTCCTTACACTGCACGCCCCCCCCCCCACGTGGTAGGCAGCGTGCGCCGAGGATGCCCTGGCACCGGGGGGTGATGGCGTGCACCGGCGAGACCCTCGCGGGGGGATAGCCGTGCGCAGGACGGGCCCTCGCGGGGGGCGCGCCTCGCAGAGGTGGTGCGCTCTTCGGGGATCGATGTTGAGAGCAAGTCTTGGCGATGCCAACCACGCGGTGAGGGCATTGGATGAAGAATCCAGGGTCTGGAAACTGGTGGAACTCCGATCAAAAGACTTGGCAACGGATACCACCGCCACCCTCATCAGATGAGGACTCCTCTGGGGTCTCAAGCCTCCAGGGCACATTCCTTCACCAACGCCCAACCGTATCCACCGCCTGGCTAAGCGGTGTCCTGGGACGCCAGGGGGGCGGTGGACATGGATGCATTCGGACCCACTGGAGCTCGAATAGATCCACATCCACCGCCTGCCAGTGCCCCCGAATATCGGTTCCTCATGCGATGGATAGGGATTAGAAAGTCCCCGCTTCGGAGATCTGGGGTCATTGCCCAGCCGCTCAAGGGAAAAACGCCCGCCCAGGCTGGCCACAGCACGTGTACGTATAGGAGGGAGGGCAGAAGAGGAGAGCGAGGCTGCTGATAAGAATATTGTGCTTACGATCTGCGCCAGTTCCAACAGACAACTGCGCTGGAGCGGGCCTCTGAATTGAGATCGTTCCTGCTGCGCCACTGCGCTGACACGGTGACGGGGCTTTCCGCAAGCATCTGCATATTATGGTTGTGGAACCATGATGTCTAACATATGTTTCACATACGGTTTAAAGATGATGAAAGCAGGTTTGAAACATGTTTAGAACATGTTTTACACATGCTTAACACATCTTTAATTCAATGATAGGATTGTTCGAGTGCCCATTGTCATGGCCTCCGCAATATTATGGCACGAGCCAGTGGGTGTCGAAAATATGGGGAACGGGGACATACATCAGACATCTTAGAGCAGCGTGGCAACCACTCGACGCTAGGGCGGTGCCAGCATCGCTCGGAGTTTGGCGCGAACCTGGGAAGTTCCAGGTGGCCCGTGGAGACAGCTGCTGGGCAGCCGTAGAAGGCTTCTGGCACTCTATCATAGCACATGCGGGTTCACACAGTGGCACGCGAACGCCAAGACAAACAGATGATGGCCTTTCCAACCCGCCCAGTCGACACACCATCGCTCACCCCTGCTGCGTGGCAAGAGGCAGTGGCTCGCACCCGCCGTCCTGGAACAGGAATATGTTGAGCGGGGCGGCGAAACCCTTATCGCTCGCGCCAGGGGGACCCCTGAGCTTCTGGATCTGGGCGCGGAAGATCTCCTCGACGAAGTCCTGGCGCGCGGACCCCACGCGAGGGCATGGCGAGGCCCACCCAGGGCTTGCCGCTCGCTCCCCTTTTGCCCCACCGGCCTTGTGGAGACCGTATTGATCAGACGTCTCCCGCCGCCTACGGCAAGGGCATTAGAACAAGTAGAGAGCAGACAATCCACCATCATAAGAATCACCCCGACACGCGAAGCCGTTTTGTAAACGCACCCAACCGACAGAATCGAACAGGGCAGGGCTGTTCAATAAACGCCCAAGGCCGTTCAGTAAACGCCAGTTATCGGGTCCGGGTATATTTCCTCCCCTGATCAAGAACCATTGAGCAAGGAAGGCAAGGTCAGGAAGCTGGTGGAACTACAATCGTGGAGTGGCCATAGACAGTACCGCCGCCCTTCTTAGATAAGGACTCCTCCGGGGTCTGACGCCTCGTGGGCACATTCCTTGACACGGGCCCCCCTGCCTCACCACCACAGCACGCACCCGACTGCCATCACCGCCCCTGGATCGGCGACACATCGCGGATATATCGGCGATCGGCTCCCGATAGCGAATCCGCACTCTCCCGGGCGGAAGGTGGGACTCTCGGTCCCCTATCGGCGATGAATGGGCGATTGCGGGTCGATGCGTCCCCCCTTATGCCAATTTCCCCCCTATCGTTACCCTTCCTCCCGCCCGCCCGCCAGCTCCTCTATTCTTTTCCTGGTAGATACCTCCTCCTTGTCGCACCCCGAGGCCGGTCGAAAGGGCGGGCCGGGCGTTTCGCCTGAGACTTCCTCACTGCTCAAAACCCTGAAGCTGCAACATTGGCAACTGCTGCACAGATGGAGGGCGGGTGGCTCCCAAAATGTGGCTCTCGCCTCAGCGCCGCGAATATTCCTTTTGAGGGCGGGTGGCTTTCAAAATGTGGCTCTCGCCTCAGCGCCGCGCACATTCGTTTTAAACATGTGCAAGAGTTTTACGGATTGAGGGCGGGTGGCTTTCAAAATGTGGTTCTCGCCTCAGCGCCGCGCGCATTCGTGTTCACAAATTAAAAGAGTTTCACGGGTTCCCACGGGCAGATGGTTTGGAAAGACTCAGGACTGTGAGGGTGCAACAGTTACGCTGATTCGCCGTGTCGAATTCTCAAGAATGGCGTGCTGGCATGATTCATACTCGTCAAGACGCCACAGTCAGGTTGATCCGTGGAGTTGGAGTCCCGAGAATGGGTTTTTTGGCACGCTTCAGGGTCTTCAAACGGTGCTCAGTGGCAACGAACCCTTGCAGGGTCCTGTGGAGAGGGAGCTTGGAGGAAGGGTTCCATGGCCATCGCTCGGACGTCCATTTCCTGCGCCTTTTTCGGTATCGTGCATGTTTTTTCGCCGATTGATCAAGGATGCTCCTCGATGGTCCTCGCCGAGGGAGAAAGGCACACGTCCGAGCGATGCCAAGGGCTTTTTCCTTCTAACACCGTTGAGGAGGTCTTGGGTCTGCACCGGCCGTGCTCCCCTCCTCCTCGCCCTCCCCTCCTCCTCGCCCTCCTACCACTTCCCTCCTCCTCGCCCTCCCCTCCTCCTCCTCCTCCTCCTCCTCCTCCTCCTCCTCCTCCTCCACCTCCTCCACCTCCTCGTCCTCCTCCTCCTCCCCCTCCTCCTCCCCCACTCCTCCTCCTCCTCGTCCTCCTCCTCCTCCTCCTCCTCCTCCTCGCCATCCCACCACTTCGTGAGAACGGCATGGGGGCCGAAACCGACGGCCCTGGACCCGCCAAACTGGCGGCCGCGCCGCCCTCGCGCGCGGACCGAACCGCGGCCCACTCGCGGATCGCGACGCGTCGGGGCAGGAGGCCCCTCGTTCTCCGACCTCCCCCGCCCTCTCCCGCGGGGGCCCTCCCGCGGCGGGGACGGCGGCGCCCGCTCGGCCCGCTCGGCCCGACCCTCCTCCCGGGCTCCTCCTCGTCCTCCTCCCCTCCCTATCCGCCCCCGAGGCCGCGGCCTCCTTCCCGCTGCTGCTCCTCAGGGGCGGGGAGGGCCAGTGCTCCTGGTTCCTTCTCTCGCTCTCTCTCTCTCTCTCTCTCTCGCTCTCTCCCTCGTTCAAGCTCTCTGTCTTTATCGTCATCTGTCTCTCTCTCTCTCTTATTATCTGTCTCTCTGTCTCTCCGTCTGTCTGTCTCTCTAGCTCTACCTTTCTCTCTCTCTCTCTCTCTCTCTTCCTCTCTCTCTCTCGTTCTCTGTCTCTCTGACTGTCTCTCTATCTATCCTGCCACCTTTCCGTCACGTTTTCTAGTTCGTGTCGTTATCTCTCTCTCTCTCTCTCTCTTTCTCTCTCCCTCTCTCTCCCTCTTTCTCTCTCTCTCTCTATCTCCCCCTCTCTCCCTCTCTTCTGGGGAGCCCCGTTGCGACACAACAATGCGACGTCTGATGTCTGGGCCAGTCGCCTCTTTCACGCTGCAGTGTCCCATCCCCTCCGCGCTCGCCCTCCTTTCCATGACCGCCTGCTGGCTCTCAGGTCCTTCCCCGCGCCCCCTCCGCCCTCCTCCCGTCCGCCCCCCCCCCTCCCCCCCTCTCTCTCTATCCGAGCCGCATGCTCGCCCTCATCCCCTGCTGCATCCACGCCCAGCCCAGCAACCGGGCGCGCGGCGGCTGTCCGGAGGCATCTTCTCCAAGAGGTCGAGGGCCTGGTCCTTCACCTGCTCGTCCATGGACTTCCCTCCGGCTCCGCCGCTGTCCTTCGGCATCGTCTCGATGATGGTGACCATCATCTCGGTGGCCTCCTTCAGCCGATATGTGAGGTCGGCATTTGGGTGGAGCCCGAAGATGAGCGGCGAGTCGACCGGCGGCACCGTGTCGATGGCCTCGCGGTACTGCTGGATCTCAAGGCCCTCGGGGATTTTGTAATTGTATTCGGCCGCGTAGTTATTGAAGCAGAATGTGTTCTTGAAAACGTCATCGCAGAGCCACTTCGCGGCATACGTCACAAACAGCTCCCTGTCCAAATCATCCGTGATGCGCCCACCGTACTGCGCCTCGGCAACCATGTACTGTATCGTGTTCCACGAGAGCGGCTGTCCGACCATGACGGACGTGGACATGTGCTTCTCCAAGAACAGCAAGCAGGCGTCCAGATCTGAGTTGTTGAATTCGTATGGCACGCACCAGCCGATGGGGCCAAACTTCCGCCGCTCCTGGACGATGCTGTGCATGAACGCCTGCACGAAAACCAAGGTTCGCCACTTATCGTGGTCGATCTTGTCAACCAGGTCCTGAGTGACGACCGTGGTGTATGTGCGGTAAAGCCCAGCCTTCAAGCCAGATGGAGGCTCCAGCGTCACCTTGATCGCAATCTGCAACAGGCCAATGGGAAACCTGGACGTGATCTCGCACGTGATCCACAAGCGGAAGTCGTCATCAATGTCTGGCGTTTTAGTGAGCACATCCTCCAGCTCACACATATAGCCAATGCCCAGATGGGAATTCTGCAATATTACCCACCCGCCGGAGATGAAGGCGTTGTTGTTCTTGTCGCGAGCTACCTTCTCCTGGCCTTCGCCCATTGAGACCTTGTCGGTCGGGTATTTCTTTTTTTTCTTCGCCAACTCGTCTATCATAAGCGTGGGGTCACTGCCGGCGGTCAAGAGGTAAACCACAGGCTTCCGCGGACTCGATTCCGCATGAATGTCAACAATCGCATCCGTTACTGGCGCCGTGAACCGTGAATCTAGCGACTTCTCAATGAACTGAGTGCACGAGATGCCAGTTCGGTCCTCGCGAGAGCATCGCCCACCCCTTTTCTACACACACACACACCACCCACTGCCCTGCCTGGCCCTGTCTAGCATGCAACTGCATCCTGCCCACCTCTTTGTACACACGCACACATACACACACACATCCCGGCCACACTGCGCACATCTTGGTCTGTCTGGCCCCGTGTGGCCTTGACCAGCGCCCTGGCTGCACTGCCTGGTCTCACTTTGCCACGCATTACCTTGCCTGGCCCTGCTTGCTCCGTCATGCAAGACTCTGCTTCACAACGCCTGACTTGCTCAACCACGCTCTGTGCTGCAGTCCGAAGCGCCCATGCGATACCTTACGGGCATCGGAACCGTGATATTTCGGGGCCTTCCAAAAAAGACTCGGGATGAAAACCCGGTCCCGGGAAATGGGTCCAGACCGCTGGGCGTCCATGCCACGAAAACATTACGATGTCGGAGGTCTTGGGAGCGGGAGAGGGAAGGAGGAAGGGTGAGGAGAACAGTTACCGTGCTGGGAGGAAGGGGCTGGGAGAAAGAAGGGCCTGAGCAACAGCATGCGGATGCGATGCAGGATACCTTCGGTCGCCTACGGGTAATGAGATTCTCGTTTCTCCAGTACATGGACAATATATTCGAACCCAATGCAGACGTGAAGGGAATGCTGGTCCCCCCCCTGCCCCCCCACTTCAATGTTGAGATCGGTATGGGTGTTGCTTTGGGGGTTCGAATATTATTGTCCACCCAAGCCCCCCCTTCATTGCCACATCTCCCCAATATTAATTTGGGGGTCCAGGGGGCATCTTGTGTCGCAGGGTTCGGATATATTGTCCATGTAAGGTCCCAACCCCATCCTCCCCTCTGGCTATCTGTCGTCCTGAAGGCGCGGGAGCGGGTGGAACGCAGGCAGTCCCAGCCCGGGGCTGCGCCACATAGGCCCGGCCAGAGCAGCGAGACGCGCCCCCGCCCGTCACCGCGGCCCCCCGCCGTCGGCCGGGAGCCCCCGCGCGCGAGCAGAGGACAGCATGAGATAGTTGTGAAGGCGCCCCAGGACACACAAATAAATGCACACACATTAACGGATTCCCCCTACTTTCCTATACTTTCTGGGTTTCTGTCTTCCCCCCCACTTCCAATCTTTTCGCATATTTTCTGGGAGTCGACGATGAATTCTGTCTGTGGGTTTCTTTCCCTCCTGAACAGTTAGGCACCCCGCCGAGCGCAGCCCCTCGGGAGCCGCCGCGCCGGATCGAGGAAGGCATCGAGCAGGGCAGGCTGCCCAGCGGACGCCCGCGGCCGCGGAGGGAGCGCCCGCCGCCGAGGGGTGGGCTCTCCTCCCCTCAGCAAGGATGCGCTTCCTCCTCCTCCTCCTCCTCCATGTCCTCTTCTCCTTGTCCTCCTTGTCCTCCTCCTCTTCCTCCTCCTCCTCCTCCTCCTCCTCCTCCTCCTCCTCCCCCTCCTCCTCCTCCTCATCCTCCGCGACATCCCTCTCCTCTCTGTCCTTCTCCTCCTCCCCCTCCTCCTCCTCCTCCTCCTCCTCGGGACGCTGGCGAAAGGGACTTCTGAGACCGCGGCGTTGCACTTTGGGACTCTGCAGAGCGCGAGTGGAAGCGTCCGTCGTGCGGCGACCCTGTGGGCGAGGCCGAGCGGACCTGAGAAACCGGCACCGCCCGCCTCAAACGTCCCTGTCCCCGGGGCCCCCCTTTGGAATCACACGAAGCAAGACGTGACTGACATGACTCCTCGGGGCCTCGGCCCGCTCACCAAGCAGCCTGCTGCAGAGGGACAACAAGCCGCTCCGCGGCCTGCCTCTGCCCCTGGCCACGGCGGGTCACCGTGCGCAGGCTCGCCAGAGAACAGCTGTGCGGACTCCGGCTGCTGCCGCTGGGACTCATGGTTGTGGGCTCGCTCACAGCTGCGGTCAGGAACTCTGGCTTAGCGCGTCGCGGCGGCGGCCCCGACACCGCGCGACGCCCTGCAATGAGCGGACAGCGCCCTGCTCCGCTTCGCGGGACGGGAGGTTTCGACAGGCTCGGGGCGTCGATGCTTTGGGACGGAGACGTCGTTGGCGTGTCGCGCGGTGACGTGGTGGGTCAGAAACGGCGGCGCGACGCG